TCTTGACCATGACTCTTCCCTGTTTGGACTACTCAGAGGCACTACGAAGCCCCCAGGATAGAACCCAACCCCTCTGACATGGTGCGTGAGCCCTCAGGCCGGGCACGGGGCTTCTTCAGTCTCCTCCGAGCCTCCAGCCCTCCACCGTCCCGTGTGCTCACTCCCACGTGTGGCTCCCTGCCTCTGGCCATGGAGAGTGTAGTCAGTTTTTGACAGCTTCGCCCGATGCAGCATTTTCTCGTTTGGTCTAAGTTTCTCTGTCCTTCTGTATTTACAACGTCATATACCTTTAGTTTTTATTTTAGAGAGGGTTGAGGACAGAACAGAGATAAACTCTGCACGTGACCCACAATGTTTAACCAAAAGTCCCCTGATTACACCCTTCCTGGCAACGGAAGTGAGAGGCCAAAGGCCGTGCATCTTGGAGAGGGTGAATCACGTTGTCAGCCGCACACCCGAAAAGTGTACTGATTTACTGACAAATGCGTAGGAGGGTTGGCATTATTTTACGAGGGCTATTTTTATTTCATAGGGTAAAAGAAACTTCTTTTCGAGGCAAGGTGTGATGATGCCAGAGTATTTTAGCTGGTTGCTTCATCACGGAACTCCGGGATGAGACTGCAGCCCCCGAGGTAGCGATTCACGCAGCCTTCCTGAGAGTGGACATTCCAGGCAGACGCTGGGTGCACACCTACCGTGCAGACTGTTTGGAAGGCGGTTTTGAGGGGGCCAGTGATCTGCAGGAAGGCTTCACAAAAACTGAAAACAGAATCAGCCTGAGAAGGATTTCAGCTGCTGTTGAAGTTCCTGGCGTGTTGGGCAGAACAGTGGTGAGAAAGTGAACAGGACTGAAAAGAACCCCCTGAACCCCCCCGAAGTAGATGAAACCAACTGTGCTTTAGCCAGGGAGGGCCGTGGAAGATGCCATCCCTGCACCGTCCCGTGCCTTAGGTTTGCTCGGTGAAGCGCGGTTTGCAAGTCAGTAAAAAAGACAAAAAAAAAAAAAGAAAGTGTTCTTCCAACAGGGGGATGGAGAACAGAGGGTGCCTCCCACGGGCTTTCCGCACCAGGCAGCACGCTTCCCAAGGTGGGTGCTTGAAATGCCCTGCAGTCCCCTGCCACACTGGGCCTGAAGCCCCCGGGAGTTGGCTTCCAGTCAAGAGCCAGCTGAGGAGGAACCTGCTAGCCCTCTCCCAGGCACTGCTAAAAACAGCCGGCCTCAGAAAGGGAAGCAAGGCCCCCGGCCACCTTTGGCCAGTCTGACAGGCCGAGCTGCTTGCACTCTGCACCAGGAGGCCTGTGGCCTGAGGGTGGCCACCAGAGCCTGTCCATCACCAGGCCACTCCTCATCTCATCCATGGGGATGACCACCGCTCCAAGCCTGGCCCTACTACTCCCAGTCCCCTTGTCCACAAGTCCCTCCTGCCACTCTGCCCAGGTCCTGGAGCCCCCACCTAACGGCCCCAGAGGGAAATCCCCAACCCTGCAGGTAGGAACGTGTGACCACCATTCTGGGGCAAACGCCTGGGCTGGGGCTGCACGCAGGCTCGAAGACTGCCTCTGTTTATTAGCTCAGAGTTGCATTTCATGCTACTTTAAGAACTATCAATATCTAAAAACAGATTTCACACCCAAACCTAACCTTTAGGCAGGTTGACCGCTGTGCCTGTATGGACAGCACCGCTGCAGGGTCTCAGAGGACAAGCCCCTGCACAGGGGGACTGAATGCCTGCAGACCCTCAGGCATCCCACTGGGGATGAGGAGAACAAGCCTAAGGAAGGCCCAGGCCACAGCAGCCCAGACAGCCCCTCACCAGCACCCCCAGAAAAGGGGCTGCACTGCCCACAGCAGCGGCCCAGCCGAGAACAGCACTCCGCTCACATCAAGCCCGAACAGTGTATTTGTCTCAGTGGCCATCAGAGCAGCACGTGGTAATGCACACAGTGTGTCTGGAGTCGGGCTCCCTGGCGCTCGCGCAGGCAGCGGCTGCCCCTCCCGCCCCATCACGGTAGGTCCATCCCGTCCTTCTGGCCACCTGGCGCCCTTAGCTCTCACACCCCAATTCCCCATCTGGGAGCCTGGTGCTAGGACAGGGTGGCCAGGGCTTCGTCCGGGGTCCCAGAGACCCCTCAACACAAGTCCTTGGAGCCTCGGGCTATTCCAGAACCACAGTGCCGCCCACCGCCTCCAGGGCCGCCTTGATCTTCTCAGCCTCAGCTTTGGCGACGTTGGCTCTGATTTCCTGGGGCAGGGACTCCACCAGCTTCTTTGCCTGCCAGAGAGCAAAGCCAAAACCTCAGGGGCCCTGGGTCCCCCCGGCCAAACCCGGCACTGAAGGGCACCGCGGAGAGCAGCGGGCGGCCCACCTGCACGAGGTTGATGCCCTGCACGAAGCTCTTGACCTCCTTGATCAGCTTCACTTTGTCCACAGGCTTCGCCTCTGTCAGGCGGACGGTGAAGTGTGTCCGTTCTTTTCGTTTGGGGATATCTTCCTCTTCCGCAGCCTTGGGGAGCAGGAAAGAAAGGGGTGGCAAGGTGAGAAACGACAGGGCGCAGCAGACACCGCCACTGCTGGGCTGCCCCGTCCTGGAGCTGAGAGTGACACGCAGGCACAGACCAGGCAGAGTCCCAGCCTCAGATGGCCCCAGCAAAGCCTGCAGTTGGAGGCCAGGTTGCCCAACTAATCAATCTCTTAACTAATCAGTGCTTCTTACCCCTTATCCACTAATTAGAACTCAGACTTGGGCCTGTCACCCAGAAATGCTTCAATCTTTGCAAAGACTGTTCTAAAGCGTGCCTCACACTCTTCTTCCAACACGCTACTTCCCTTATTCCTTAAAAAGTTGTAACTTATTGAGGGGCCGGCCCGGTGGCGCACTGCTATAGTGCGCTGCTTGGGATGCGCGGCGGCGCTCCCGCCGAGGGTTCAGATCCCACATATGGACCGGTTCCCGCTCACTGGCTGAGCGAGGCACGGGAGCAACGCCAAGGGTTGCGATCCCGTTGCCAGTCCCGGTCCGGTACGGGGGCGACACTGAGGGTTGCGATCCGTTGCCGGACACGGAAAAAGACAAAAAGGAAACAAAAAAAAAGTTGTAACTTATTGAGACAAGAGACAACAACACAGAAAGTGCTTTGAGATAAAGAAATGTTACAGAGAAGTGGGGCCTCTCCAGGTCTCAGCCAAGCCCAAGCATATGTACCACGGACAAACTGACAACCACCTTAAGTCCACCCTCACCAAGTGACTGTGAGACAGAGGAGCGTGACATTCTCTTGATGTGAGACGTGAAAACACAGCATCCCCCATGGGTAGGGCCCTGTGTCCCAACAATTGGGGCATCCTGGTTTGGGCCCACCGCTGCTTATAAATGGCGCCTCCCTCAAAAGTATTCCGGTTCGGGCCGGCCCATGGCTCACTCAGGAGAGTGCGGTGTTGATAACACCAAGGCCACGGATCCCTATATAGCGATGGCCTGTGGCTCACTTGGGAGAGTGTGGTGCTGACAACACCAAGTCAAAGGTTAAGATTCCCTTACCAGTCATCTTTTAAAAAATAAAAAAGGGGCCGAGCCCGTGGCGCACTCGGGAGGGTGTGGCGCTGGGAGCGTGGCAGCACTCCCGCCGCGGGTTCAGATCCTATATAGGGATGACTGGTATGCTCACAGCGCTCACTGGCTGAGCGCGGTGTGGCCGGTCTCAAAAAGGACAAATAAATAAATAAATAAATAATAAATAATAAATAATAAAAAAGTATTCCAGTTCAGACAGCGCGTTACAGGGTAATCCTATCGGAGCAGTCATGCTATCTACTCTTACCCAAAATACACAGTCTGAATCTAACCAGCCTTTAAAACTACCTCCAGTTCTCAGGGGGTAGAAGCGGGAAGATGCCCCATGGAAGCACCACACATCCGGAATGGGGACCTCTCTAGGACCTGACCTGGTTTCCTGAGCAGGGGAAGGGGCTGAGGGTAGGAATTCCGATGAAAAAGGCTTAAGGGATCCACCGACCCGATGCAAAGTGTGACTGTAGGGCTGTGGGTTTCCTCGCAGAGACCCGTGGAGATGCCCATTACCGCCCCCGCCCACTTCCTCCCCCAGCCCGTTCCAGCCCCCTCCCACGCTCTAGCCTGGTGGCCCTTGTGCTGTGATTTCATCTGCCGGGAACTCCTTGCTGTCCTCAACCCCTTCAAGCCTTCCCTCGAATCACCTACTCACTGAGGTCTTCCTAGAACTGTTCCCCGTCCTAAGCTTATTTCATACTTAACAATACTCCGCTATTTAACACAACCCCTTCCTTTTTTCTCTTCTCTTTTGGCTTATCCTCTGTTTCTCTCCATTAGAAATCCTTGGCAGGATGGGGGTCCCGGGGTGCTGCAAGAACCCCCACAGGGGGAAGCATGCACAGACATGCAGGCTGCAGAGACTAATGGCAGCTGCAGGAACAGAGACAAGGGACGAGAGAAATGCAACCACATGATGTGAGGGCAAAGGTGAGCCTCCTTCCACCCAGGACCCCAGCTGAGCTCACCTCAGGGGCTGCAGCAGCAGGGACAGCACCAGGCACTGCACCAGGCACCATGCTGCCCATTGGCATGAGCCCCACATCCTGGATCTTCAGCGTTTTCTGCAGGGACAGAGAAGAATGGTTTCAGCAGCTGCTTGTCACACCCAAAACACACCAAAGGGCAAGACCAGCGCAGTCCTTGCATCTGTGGAAGCACTTTTGACAACTTACCAAATTCCCCAAATGCACCAGGAACAGGACATAGTGGCCCCCAGTCCTCACTCCCAGCCCCTGGTCTGTACCAGCCTCTCACAATACCTTCAGGAGCTCGTTGAGGTCAGAGATCTCCAGGAGCGTGAGGCTGGCAATGTCCTGCACCAGCTGCTGGATCTTGGGGGGGTACTCTTTGGGGGCATTATCCAGGGGTGCACCGGCGAGGGCCTCGCCCATTCGATGTCTGCTGCTCCTCATCTGTCGCGCTACACAGACACGCGGCACCTGCTGCCTACCCCCCGCCATCCAAACAGAGTCGTGAGCCCTGGAGGGGGTGTGCACAGAGACCAGGGGACAGGACAGAGACTGGGGGACAGGTGGGTGCCCTGAGCTCAGATCGATGATCACTAGATGGGAAATCACCGGTCTCCTTAGTCCCCGCCGAGGGTTCTTGGACCTTAAGGGGTCCCCAAGGATAAGGGGACTTCCGAATTACTTTCAATCCTTCAAAGAGCACTAGAAGCCCACGGGGTTGTCTGCAGTAACGCTACCCAAAGCGGCAAGCTCTGGTTTGGATGAGCTACACCGACCCAGCGCGGGTAAAACGGCTACTTGGGTGCAGTTCGCTGCACGAAGCCTTCCACATCGTGGGGCCCCCAGCCACAAGGGCCGGATCCACTCACGGGACTTTGCTGCGGAGGAAACTGAGGTCCGGAGGGAGGCAGGGACTCGTCCAAGGTCAACCGGGCCGACCCCGGCACTCCCCGCGGCACGCGCGGGAAGGGGATGCGCACGGGGCGGCCCGGCCCCTCCACGCCCCCGACGGGGCCCGCTGAGCGGGGCCT